AGGTTTTTGGATAGATTTTATCAAAAAAGATATATTTTAGACAATTACAAATGACGTTATTATGGATAGATTTCAAAAAATTAAAAAACTATAGAATTCAGTTCTAGAATGTAAATAATTTTGGACGATATATGTTTATTAGTTTTTTATTTTATTTGTATTTTAATTATACTCCCGTTAATATTTTTTTTTGGATCTGTCATTATACATGTATATATATATATATATATATATGATTGAATGTATGAATGTGAATATATATATATATGTATGTATATGTGTCTATATATATATAATTTTATATTAATCGGGTTGCCGGACGGGGCCTGCTTTTAGCTTGTATTTGTTTGAGTTGGATCAACATAACCTGATAAACAAACATACATTAATTTTTGAAGTCTAATCTTGTAAATTTTACGTGCGGGTTCGGATCAGATATCGGATTTTGGAGTTTTTTGACACTCTTAATTTTATAAATTTAAATTGAAATATCCATCTAAATGAAACTTATAATACATATTAAGTATATGATATATCATGGGAGTTCGAAGTAGGCAAGACTTAGTTCATCCGTAAACTGTTGGATGCGAATCAAATTTTGATTTTATGTAAACTTTAAATCGAATATTACGTGAACCGATTCAGCAAAAAAAAAGAAGAAAGAAGAACCGATTGACATTCATATACGCATGTATATGTGTATATTGTAGAGGTGTATGAAGAATTACAATAAGAAATATCCAAGATTAATGCACGTATCATCCATTCATGATTAGCTGATTATTTGATGCATTGATGGCAACTAATCGTACGTGTCGCTTTAATTACGGACTTTTTATTTATTTAAGTCAATGTACAAATAAATGCAAATAAAAGCATATGTAGAGGAAAATAAATACAGTTAGTGACTCGTGTCTCGTGGGATTTCTAAGTCAACCATGTATTAATAAAATTTACGTAACAATATATGCGTAATTAAACTCTATAGTTTTTTAGAATAATGAAAGTACAATATGATTATAGACAGGCGTATCGATGCATGAAGGATATGATATGGCCACCCGAATACATATTTATAATCGAACTACAGTAATATATAAGCCACCCGAATACATATTTATAATCGAACTACAGTGATATATAAGACGACATGTCAAACAGAATAAAACATATATATATATATATA